GTTTTGATGTGGCCAAAAGATATTAAGGGATTAGGGGAATGGGTACAAATCTTATTCTATATATAGGTTAGTGAATTAAAGATTAACCTTAATCTTCCCAACATGGGCCAGACTTTCATTTTGCCTTAATCCTTAAGCCCATTCCCATTAAAAACCCATGGGCCCAATCTTTATTAATTGAATAAAATTACATAAATACATGTACATGTAAAATTTTGTTATTCACATAATTACATTTTGACACATACTTTTATTATTGAATAACCAACTAATATGCATAAACATATGATATTATTCAGGTTTATGATCATTCAATGATGCCATTGAAGCATATGTATGCTTTGTGTAGGACCCTATAGATTTATGTACTATTTAGCCATGTCACGGTTTGACATGTGATGTGGGCATATAAAACTTACAAAAATAATAACAAATCTCGGGCAATTGTAGTGTCTAGCTCCTTTCTTTCTAGTGAACGACCCATGCCCTCTAATGACCCCCACGCCCTTCTCTAACCCTCTTTTGTTCTCGAAGCAAATGTGAAGCAGGTTTTTATATATGGTTCTTTAGAAGCAAATGTTCAACAACCATCTTAGAGGTTTTCAGTCTAGTTTACCATTCCTCTTCTTCCTCCTTTCGTGTTTTTTCTTCATTGAACCAAACCAAAAGTCGGATTTCACGGATTTTGATTCTTCTAGATTTTGTGCATCTCGTGAATTTTGTGGACAAATGCAGATGAAGAAATGTCTGTCTTTTCTAGGATGGTGATGGTTGCATCTCGTGATTCAGATTAGAGTTTTGATTTAGTTTAGGCTTTGCTTTATATTAGGGTTTGAAACAATCTCATTTAGTACAATAATTCATGCAATGAACAACTTCAATTTGTGTTTGATTTTGTTTGTGCTTGTGTTCGATTTGCTTATTTTTCAGGGTGCGTTGTGACGGTTGTTGGTTATGGTACAGAGGATGGTGGATGGTAGTTAATGATAATGGTGAACAAAATGGTGATCATTGCTTTTCATGGTGGATGGTGGATGGTGGATGGTCAGTAGTTGTGGATGGTTGGGAAGGTTTTTGAGGAAGAAGAAATAGGTAAAAAGTTCACATGACCAACTTAATATATATTTTATTCATTATGTTAACTCATAGTACAATATTAATGCGGGGGATGATTTTGGTCTTTAAAACACGAAATAAGAACCATTGATATACTTATCTAACATTAGAGATTAAAACCAAAAAAAAAAATAGCAAAATCATAGACTACAAATATAATTCACTCTAAATTTTATGTTGGTTCATATTTAAATTGATAAAAGTAAAATGCAAACTTGTGTTGTTTGTTATTTAGCATAACAACTTTTTTTCTCCATTAATATATCAAACTTTTAGAAGCCCATATATAGTTCATGTACACTTGGACCCCTTAAGAAATTGCAATTTACAATGTACCAAATAAACTTTGTTTATAAAATTAATCCTTCACTTGCCAAGAAATGGAAATTTTGTTTACATTTATCAAAAGACCAAATGACAGGGTGTTTATTTTATGGCTCAACTCGTATAACCCATCTGTATCCTATCAAACCGTGTAGTTTGAAATTTTTTGCAGTACAGTTGGTATGTTTATATTTTTTAATGCCTTACTATATAGTTTGGTTTGTAGTTTTCTATTACTCAGACCGTGTTCTGTATCAGAAATTATTTTTATTGATATATATATATATATATATATATATATATATATATATAACATAATATATTTAAAAGCTCCTACTTTCAAGCTTGATGAAAGTTGAAAGATGGAACTCAATTGTTTGTTTTATATTTATGTAAAACTTGATTAGAACTTGCAATTTATGTTGTGTATTTTCATTTTATACTAATGTATCGTACGCACTATATGAAACTTTGTTTTGTAATTATGCATGCATCGTTTTCAAATACAAACCGTATAAACCGCACCCCCACACTGCCAGCACCGCTACTATGTGCAAAACTACACTAACAACCAAAACTTGCATCGTTCATCGAAGCTAAATTGTTCTATGAGTAAATTACGTTTTTCGTCCTTATACTTTGTTGAAAATTTCGTTTTATAATCCCCGGCCCCGGTTTTTAGTAATAGCCCCCCGGTCCCGGTCCCGGGTGTGTACGGGGATTAACATCCCGTCCCTGGTCAAACCCCGGACCGTTCCCTAATCAAATCCCATGAAAAATATCCGCTAGTTTAAGTCTACCGGGGATCTCCGATCCTGGGACCCGTTTTAGTAGGGAATCCCTATCCCCGTTCAGGTTGGGTGAGCCGGATTTCCCACTGAGTCGGAGCAAATCACCATCCTTAACGAATGGGTAAGATTTTTGTTCCTACATCTATTTGGGTCACCAAAACATGACGAGCAATGGGGGGAATGGGGTTTGGTTTGGGGGAGGGAAGTAATATAATTATGTAAATATAATATAATAATAATAATATGTCTGTTTATTAAAAAAGTAGAAGAAAATAGCTCGTAAAAGACTATAATATTCATAAGCTAAATGATTTAACTGGCAAAGTCAGTCTAAAAGACGAAAATGGAAATAAAGTGCAAACGACAGTGTATATCTTTTTTATCAGAGGTTGAATCGATCATCAGAAGAAGAACTAGGCCAAAAATTAGGATACATTCTGGGAAACTCAAGCTGAAGAAACTTATTCAATGATCACTGCTAATCGTTTTTGGTCCCAAATATTTGGGGTTGCTTATGTAATAAATGAAGGTCAAGGATGAAAAGCGAAATTTTTAACAAATCATAAGGATTTGTTCTCTTGATTTTAAGATCTAAATCTTTCATGCAAGATGAATAAATAAAACATCGAGGAGATGCTCATGCCTTTTTCTTATACTAGAAGGGTGTTCGTGCAATGCAACGAGATATACCTCAATTTAATATGCAACACAAATTGAAATTAAGATAATCATGGAAGGATAAGAATTTAATGATTCTCTCAACTATTGATCATGGAAAAGCACTACCATTTACATTGACATCTCTGCAATCGTTCATTTGGTCTCTTTCAAGGCTTGAAATATTTCTACATGTTCCTCAAGTTCCCAACTTTCTTTCTGTGGATGACGATTGATCTGGATGAGCTTCCGGCTCGTCTCGATAAATTTCCCGATCTATCTTGATAAAAGTTAAAAATGGTGAGTTATGGTTTTACATAAACAAGCACACAATAAAATAACCGATAGGTTCTCAATCGATCTCGATAAAAATTGAAGGTGTTATTTATGATTTTAAACACAACCACACACCAAGTCAATGGATGGGTTCTGATTAGTCTTGATTGGTTTCAAATGGTGTCGATGGGTCCCATTGGGTTGTGGACCGATCTCGATGTATTCTTGATTGGTCTCAATAGATTCCCGATCCCTCTCCAAAAACTAACCATTAAATGCATCTAGTTTTAGACGTTGAGTTGTCCAATTATTATGTTTCCTTCTAATACTTGTACTATGGATTATGATCATAACCCCAAAGAAGCCTAGGAATCCATATGATTGATGTAAAGTTCAACGTATGTGAACATGTTGGTGAACATGTGTATTGGATGTACGAGTTTCAATAGCGTCTCTTATGATCACTGTATACAATCCCTATTTGATTTGATGAACTTGAAGTCTACTGTGTGAGCCATTTTACGAAGTCGTAGAATAGTCATTAGGGTACATGATATAAATGTGATTTGTCCCTTACGTATGATGTGAATGATGCATATGGGCTCTTGATAGAATGAGATTGAGAAAATACATACAGATGTATCGTATTGAGATGCATCATATATTCGATCTATTCAGAAATCAAGAAACTAAGGGGGTGTTTGGTTCACATAATGTAATTTGATGGAATTGGAATCCATTAAAAGAATTTGACTTTGAAGGAATTGGAATGAAATTTGATGGAATTTGATCATACATTTGATTGGTAGGAATTGGAATGAAATCTCTCAATAGAATTGGAACAATTGTATTTGTTTGGACCATCCCACATATCGCCCCACCCACGCCCTACCAACCACCATGTCACTAATGTCGTCATCACAGCTATCACCCTGCCCCAACCCTGCCCCTACCACTCCTGCCCTTGCTCCACAATAGGTGGGATTGTTGGGGGTAGGCGGGGTGAGGTGAGGCATTGGGGATGGACCAGTGGGTGGCAAGTGAAGACTATAGTGGTAGGATGGTGGTTAGTGGTGGGTTGGAGTAGGGTGGGGGTGTGGGTTGGAGTAGG